ATGCAACCCATCGTCATTCTTGGAAAAATAAATCCAAATAACTATTTCTCATGTTTTATGTATTTGGAATAAGGCATAACAAAAACTGTGCTGAGGATAAATACAAAAGAGATCTCTTACGCTCTTATAAAAGATCTTGGTTTTGTTCAACCAAATTTATTATTCCCATATATCTTAAAGCCCCCTAGGTTCTTCAGGTTAGTAATTAATTATAAAATTATTATTATTTGTACTTGATATTCTGGCATCATTTACTGCAAAACTTGTAGGACCAATTTTCTATATTCAGTTTTTGCTGTCATTGATATTTTTGCTGAAAACAGAGTATAACAAGGAAGGATTAAAATCTTGGACCTGTATACATGATTTATTGCGATTAAAAAAAAAAAGGAAAAGTCTGTTAGCCTCTTCTACATCATAAAGTACTGGCTATAAACTCCCAGAATAATTTGAAACCTCAAAACCCCGCTGATATACAAAAGAGCCTATGCAAAGCAGCTGAGGTCAGAGCTTTACATATTTCTTCGTATGAATTCTTAGACATTTGCAGAATACCTGAGTCAGATCTGGCCTGGAATATATTTATCTGGCTTTCTTCTAATTCTATATATATCACACAGCTCCCCAGGCATCTTCGGAGCTCTAGCTATTCAGGCTCACTCTTTTCTTAATACTGCCTTGATCTCCGACCTCAAATATGGCGAGAATCAGCATTTCTCTTACATCGCTGAAGACTTTCTAGGCGCTTATATTTTCCTAAGTCAGATTCTGTCCTAATTTCTGATTTAGAAAGAAATGTTTTTTTGTGTCTGGGCAACTGGAATTCTTCTTTATTCTCAGTTCTGAAACAGCTCACATAGGAAACAGAGTCCCTATTCCTTTAATTTCGCTCACTTACCCTAACCACATACCATGAACACAAGGCAGAGAATGTAGCTGGTTTTTCTAAAGGATTGGGGCAGTACGAAACCGAGTATTACTAGAGAGCCTGCTCTTAGAATTCTGTGTTATCCTTGTCTTTTTTTCTCCTCAGGTCTCAGCTACCCAGTATTTTCTGGGCTTATTGTTTCTCTCCTCAAATTCTTCACTTTTCCTCACTTTGTAGCTATTCCTGAGTTCCCTCACTCCCTCTAAATTATTAACAGAGTTTTAGGTTTTTTTTGTTTTTTGTTTTTTTAATTTTAACTACAATGCAGTATTATGGTGAAGTTCAGTATTATTTCATATATATAAGGTTATTAAAGTCTGGCTTTAAGATGACTTGTTTGCTCTCAAATATGAGACTTATTTATTTTTAAATTTCTTTAATAGAACCTAAATAAGATATAGGGACTACTATTTTTTCCTCAGCAGAACTCATATTTATAATGGAAATCAGTAGGAAAATTGGCTTTATTTAAGAGAAAATTCTGTACTACAACAATCTTTTGGAATACATATTCATTTTATGACTCATGTAAGATATCTAACTTTTATACAATCCACATTCCAATTATATAAATTAAAAATTCAGCTGTCTAAGCACAATTAATCAACCTAACAATTTTCTTTAACTGAATCTCAGATGCTGAGACCATGCATTTAAATATATAAAATTACTATATTTAATCAGTGATTGTAATATGGAGGTGAGAACCCTCAGCCACCTTAAAAACGAGATTCTATGTGCTATTTTCTTTCATTCCTATTTTTTAAAATTCATAGGAAGAAAACATTGATTTTTATTTTACCAAGGTTGTGAGCAAATCAGAAATACTTAAAGGATATTGTTTGTTGTCACTCAGCACAGATTGAGTAAAATGTTGTCCATCTCTTTAAACATTAAAAAAGTACATTTTTCTTTTTTGTTATTGCAGTCTCAGTGATATATTTCTGGTTAATATAAATAGAAAACCATAAGTTATAACTTAACTTATTGATACTTAAATATTTAAGAACATGGTGTCTCCAGCAGAAAGAAAGGAATAAAAGAAATACTTGGTGGTAATAAATGTAGAACAAAGCAGTTAAGTGAAATTTACTTGTGGCTTACTATTATGTTATGTTATGCTATTAAGTAAGACAAGCTATGTCTTACTATTGTAAATTTAAGGTCTTTTCCATATCATAAAAATAAACTTAGTAATTTCTGCAAGGTCACTGTTGTGAGCCTTACCTGGTTCCTGATAAAGTATTCAGTTGATAATCTGGGCTTGAAAAGGTTTGGTTAGCATTTCTCAGACTCTGAATACTTCCATCTTTCTTTGCCTTACAAATAAAGGACTCAGACATTCCTCAGACTATTAGAGACAGAGATTTCATGGGTGACTTAGTAGGAAAATTTTTCCAAAAATTAAATTTTTTGGGGGTGACATTGGTTAGGAAATTTGGTTTTTAAACAGGAAGAGACCTGCATCACTTCTCGCTGTTTGCAGAGAGTGAAATAAAGGAGAGATTAAAAAAAATTTTTTTAACAAGTATTCAAATACTGCTTATTAGGTACCAGGTTCTTTAGAGGCATTAACTCATTTAATTTAATCCCCACAACAACCGTAATAGGTACAATGATTACCTTCTTTAACTGATAAGGAAATGGAGGTAAGGGAGCTTAAGTAACCTATGAAGTCACTTGCGGGAGAGTGATTGAGATTCAACCCCAGGTTGCCTGACTCCACACTATGTGGCTGAATGAAGATAAACAATGCTAACCTGTCCACCGAATGAGCTGGTTTTCTGGTACGGGCTTTACACCAGGATAGAACCAATTACTCTCAACAACTACTGTGGTGAACTTTGGAGTGATACTAAGGGCAGTCACCTATGCTGGCCAGGTACATTTATACATAGACTTCATATTTTTTAAAATAAGATTAATCATCAATTTCTAACATGTTAATACTTCTTAGTTTTATTGTAAACTTTCCTTTTAAGAAGCCAACCTTGCCTGAGAATTATCCATCAGTTGGCCAGCACCATGGTATCATGTTTGTAAACAACCAGTCGAATGGGTGCAAATAAAGTGATGAAAAGTCAGCAGTGTCAGAGATGGAAATATTAAAATTTTGCTTCCTTACATTCATGGAAAGCTTTCACTTGCATAGGTTTTTTTTTTTTTTTTAACAAGTAAGTTTTACCTTTTATTTAATATGTTGCTCCATTTTGTATTTCAGATTCTGCTTAAGCATCTAAAAATGTTACAAAATAGTGTCATATCCTTTCACATTAGATATCAAATTAGCTAGGGAAGTCGAGTAACTTGTAAGTACTCTAACAAGCCAAATATTAGAAAGTGAATTTGAATTTGGTGATTCCATCCAGTCAACTGTCCAATGGGGTGTAAGGGAACCTCTTATGTGCCAGACATCATGCTTAGCATTTTTCAGTTATCTTGTTTAATTCCACAGCCTTGCTAAGTGTTATCATACCCACCTTTTGAGGGCTGAGAAAAGAGGCTTGCAGAGGGGTAGTAACTTGCTATGGGTTTCACAGTTAATAACGGCCTTGGTGGAATGATAAACTCGTGTTTCAGGCTACGCATAGCATAGTACTATCTCAGCACAATCTAAGGCATGAGTATCTTGCTAAGAAGGTTCCAAATTTGCTGGCAATCAAGTGATACTTTGATACCACCGCATCTGGAAATAAGGAGCAAATAATGGCAGTAGGGGGCAGGCATCCAGTTACTTCCTACATGATTAGCTGAAAAAGAAACACCTGCACACACATGTTGGAAAAATGTGATATATCTAAGGATCCGACCTAATTTAGGCAGCAGGAAGAAGCGGCTTTTGAACAAAGGGTTGGTCACGGCCTAGGAGGTGAACTAAAACAATTTGTCTATGGAAGCTGGTTGGTGCTGCAGAGCTCAAGGGCCTATAGGCTGCACAGGAGTCTTTCCACCCGCCCAAATAGATATACAACAGCAACAGCAGAGGTACCCACTGCTCACCTTCAGATGGGAAGGCAAGTCCTATTATAAGAGATATACATAGATCCACACCACATCCTGACAGTACGTTTCCACAGGAAGTGCAGGATGGGAGGTTTCATTAATTTAAGACGGAAAAACTTGTTCCCCTGGCGTGTATTTTGGGAGGAAATTACACCATTGAGGTCACGTCCCCGAGATACTCTTTTTCCCTCCAGGTACATCATCCTTCATTATCGATCCCTAGGGTGCAACTATGAGGCTCAAAATCCGTCCCGCGGCCCCAGGGTGCGCGGCAAACACTAGGGTCCCCAGGCGGGCGGGGGCGGCGGTGACGCAGGAGGTGGCCGGGGCCCAGGTCCAGGCGCGAGGAGTAGGGGCAGGTTCTCCGCGCTGTGCGGGCCAATCAGCAGGCGCGGCGTTTAGGGCGCAGGGGGGTTAGAGGAGGGCCGGGGCTCCCAGGTTTCCTCGGGTGCCGGCGCAGCGCCGCCTGCAGTTTCCAGGGACGGCGCGGAGCCCCCGGGGGTCTCCGGGAGCGCCTGCTTGTCCCGCTTT